AAAAGGGCGGCCTACAAATATTAATAAAATCTCTAAAAAAAAAAAAATCTCTAAAATCTCCATTCCCTTCCCACTCCAGGGGAAGGTTACTGCAAAATCCCCATTCCCTCTCGATCAGCTGGGACTCGGGAGGCAGAGAATAGATGGGGGTGGGGCCAATCAGAGGTGGTATTTACCAATTCTCCGAACTACTCAAAATTTCCGCTACCGGTTCTCCAGAACTGGTCAGAACCTGCTGAATACCACCTCTGTGACAGTTACAGTATCCCATCATGTGATAACCTTCTGCGACCTTCTGACAAGCAAAGTCAATGGGGAAGCCATATTAACTTAACAACGTAACTAACTGAACAGCTGAAGGGATTCACTTAACTGACGCAGGAAAGGTTGTAAAATGAAGCAAAATTCATCTAACACCTGTCTTGCTTAGCAACAGAAATTTTGAGCTCAGTTGTGGTCATAACTGGAGGACTACCTGTACTTCATACTCATTGAAAAAGACCCACTGCATTCCATAAGTTGATGCTGGTACAGAAATTCATGAAAAGCTTTTACCACTACTACTATTTAATTTAATTTTGTATAACAGCAGAGTAGGCTATGTCTCCCGAAACAAGGCAGTCCTCTCCCTCTCTTCAACCCAATGCAAAGCATCACTAATATTCGGTGAGTTGTTACCAGATGTGTCCAATTAACATTATTGGGCTTTGTTTATTTTAAAAAAAAGTTTTGAGGGGAAAAAACCCACTTTCTGTTATTTCTGTTCTGCTGAGGTTTGTTTGCCTGCTTTGTTTGGAGACAACATCATAAAGCGGTGGGTGCTTTACTGGGGCCTCCTCTTCCTTCACTCCTCCATGAAAAATTGAGGCCACAGAGCCTGCTTTTGTGACCTCCCACTACCACAGCCCACCCTTTGTAGTTCTCCATGAAAACCATCTGTCCTCTCGCTAGCCTTGAATACAAGTGAGATGGCTCTTATACAACTCTTCTTTAGTTGGGCACAATAGAAGAGGTTATCTGGAAAGCAAATATATTGACACAATTTGCTCCCCTTGTCTGGAGAAGAATCTAGCTGGCTATTAAAGTTGGGCAGGCTGGCCACTTTTCCTATCCTTTGTTATGTCATGTGTCCATCTGGGAGAACAGACATGGGGATGAGTCAAAGTCTGCATTGTTCGGTGTCTTTGTGAATCTTGGCAAGATGGTAATTGGTTGGCTTTTTGCAGGCTCTCTCATTGGGCAATGCCATAAGGCAGTCTGCTTAGTAATTTCCCTGATTTTTTTTTTCATCTGCAAATATGGTTTTTGTTTTTCTGCCTTGGTGCTCTCTGATCTTAGCTGTTTGCTTGCAGATGTTTTGCCTGGATGGGTAACAAATGTTTGCAAGCAAACAACCAAGGTCAGAGAGTTCCAAAAACTCCACAGTTCAGCCTTGAGGTATAGATAATTTCTTCTGCTGGTACTTGAGAATCCCTCTTGAATTTTTTTCTCAGTGGTGTCTTTGAGCTGCCTCTTGTTCAGGGTGGCAGAGAGTGCTCCTCTGGGTGCAGCTGTTTTCTGTTACATATTTTCCCATCACCCTGCAGCATCTCTGTTTGCCTGAAATCTGAAAACTTTCTTCTGTGGGAGGAATTCTCTTGTTATGTATTCCTTGAGATTTAATGGTAGCTGTGAAAAATCCAAGATGTAGACCATTAGACACCACACAGTGAAACATACATACACCTTTTAATCTGCTCTAGCTAACCAAGGCAAGACTATCCCATTCTATCCCTGTGGATTGCATTACTTGAGCAATTGAATGAGAACATAGGAAAAATATGGTTATAAGTTTTGGCAACAAAGGTGCATATTTTAACTCAGTATTTTTCAAATTTTGTAACTTTTAAGACGTGTAGACTTCAACTCCCAAAATTTCCCATGTTGACTGGGGAATTCTGGCATTGAAATCCAAGATTGCCAAGTTTGAAAAACATTGTGTTCTAATTTGTCCTTTTTTGCTTGGTGTAAAATGCTGTTTCCCTCATTGAAATATAATATTTTTTTTTGGTGGAATTTCCTTCTTGACTATTGGAGCACTGCTTTTTTTTTATAAAAAACAAACCTGACCTATTTCCTTTTTATGTTAATTGAAGTCAGAGGTAAGAAGGTAATCATAGGTGGATTTGAGTTTCAGTTGTTCAAAGAGAAATTTTGAGGTTTTACTACTATTGAATCTCTTGTCTTTTTAGTAAATGGGTAACGGGATGAGGTGGGGAGTAGAGGAAAGAGAAAAAAAAGGAAGAAAATGAATATTCATATTTTGGACAATAAGCTTTCCCCCCTCCTATGTACATTAAAAACTGAATGGCTGTGCCATATGCCCCTTTTGAACAAGGTAGAGATGTACTGCAATGGCTGAATGCACATCACTTCAAAGTTTGGTTACATTTAACTTTGTTTTTTTCCCCTACATGGCATAATATTAGGTCAACTCAAACCATGTGGTTAGGTAATGATTCAGCGTATAGTGTAAGCCCAGAAAATGCATTAATTTAATACCTTGGCTAAGCAGGCTGTGAAGTCAATCATGGGATAAGAAACCACAATGGATTATAGAGTCCAGGTGGTTGCAAAGCAGAGCTCAAATGAATTCCATATTTGCTTTCCCAAAACACTTCTCAGCAGCATCTTCATGCCATCTCATGGAATTATGAATACTGTATAATTTCATTAGGTTTCAGGACATCGTTAAACTAAGATTTATAATCATTCTTGGTAATGTACGCAGTGCTCATGGGATGGAGATGCACAATGGTGGGATTCACATTTTTTTTACTGCCGGTTTGGTGGGCGTGGCTTTGTGGGCGTGGCAGGGGAAAGATACTGCAAAATCCCCATTTCCTCCACACCCCACTAACCTGCTTTCCAGCTCCGTTCTCCTGTTCAGGGCAACAAAAGAAGATGGGAAGCTGGGAGGCAGTGGGGCGGGGCCAGCCTATTTGCCGGTTCTCCGAATTATTCAAAACGTCCGCTAAACGTCTCCAGAACCTGTCAGAACTGGCTGAATATCACCTCTGGAGATGCATCACTTTGCTTTTTCCTCTTTCAAAGTGAATTTCTTCTGGATTTCTTGTGAAGGCACATCACCCTGGCTCCAAATGTATTTGTAAGAGCACCAGTTTCCCACTGTGAGGTGTCTTCTTCAAAGAACAGAAGAAATCACAGTGTTTGGACTTTCTGGAGCAGAACATAGATTCTGTGCTAGGACCCAGCATGATGGACCTACAAGAAGCACTTTGGAAGAGATGGAATGTGACTCCTTCCAGGAGGGCCTTGATCCATCCTGGGTCAGTTGGGTGGTTCTTGGGAGAAATTGGCAGTCATTGCATGGAAGGCAAAGACCTTTAGAAGGGAGCATGGATTTGGAGCCTGTGGACAGACTGGCGAAGCAGGAAAGGCTATATATTGCCAGGCAGACAAAGAATGTATGGCCTCCCTCAAATGTATTTGTCAATCTCCCAGAGGATTATAATCCACAGTCTAAGAAACCTTCAGTTTACTGGTTCATATCTATGCTGACATTGACCTGTTGCTCTGAAGATATCCTGGTCCAAAATGGTTACGGTATTGCCAGTTGACTTGCCTGAGCTGCCAGTCAGTTAATTTTAGGGACAGCCTTCTCAGCCTGGGGAACATGTTAAATTAATTTTGATGTTGGAAACTAAAGAATTACAGAAGTAATTGGGTATGGAGCAAATCTTCCTGTTTTGGCCTTCATTCTTACCCATGAAGTAGTAAACAACAGCATTGTGTCAGTCAGAACACCATGCTTTTATTGTTTTCCGTTCCATTATTTGCTAAAAATTCAAAGCAAAAAATAAAATTCTTGATTTAAAAAATTCCTAATCGTGGTCAATACATTGGACGTCATTCCCCAAAAGCAAGTTGAACTACAAACTATGCTTTCTGGCAAAGTTTCAAACTGAAACCAGCAGGCTCTATTTAATTTAAAACACTTCTTCAAAAAGGGTATGGATTCTGTGGTGCAAAATATATTGCTGAGTTTTTGATAGCTTCATCTAGTGTGGCTAATAGTCGGGGATGAAACTTTGGGAAGATCTAAGGTTCTGTATGTTGTTCTAGTCAATCATTGGAATGAGAAGTTGCCAGCACTTGTCTGATGGTGATTAACAAGAAGCTGTGTTGGCAAGGAGTTCCAAAGTCTCTGCATTGCAAATAAAACATCCTATATCTATTACATATGCTATATAGCTTTTAATTTTAATTTCTCCAGAGAAAATGCAGGCTTTTCAATTTCACGTTTCTACTATTTAAAGAAAAATCAATGAGATGTATTGTCTGGTCTCTGTTATTTAGTAGACTAATATGGCTCTCTCATTTTATTTTCCTTTCTTTTTCTTTTTGCAGGAATCTGGATTTCCTTCTATTGAGAAAATGATTCCCACTCTGTTGCTCTCATTGTTGGGAATCTTGGTTTCTTTGCAAGGGGGCCATTGTCTTGTTCCTCCTAATGAGCTTCAGAGTGAGTACATGCCTGTTAATTAGAAATGATGGCTTTCTTCCCCTGGTTGGCAAAGAATTTGTGGATTTGAACTGCAGCCAGTTATGAGCTTTTGGGAGAAACCCCGGGTGGGCTAGGGGTGAATTAGTGGATGTGCTGGACCAGGTTCTTGTCCAGTGTGCATGATTTTTGCAACTGCAAAAGATGCCAAAACGTCGTCTTGTGAACCACAAGAGGCCCACACTGGCAAAAAGAGAAAAATCGCTGGCAGCGTTTATAAAGACACTATTTCAGAACCAGCCATTTGGGTCATGAAGTCACTTCCCAGAAGCATGACTCACAGCAGTTTGTAGCTAGTTTGAGCAAAATTAAAGCTGCCTTGTCATTTGTTTTGACCGTGTTGCCAAATTATGCAAGAGGCTTTCAGTCAAGTCTATTTCCCCAAAGGGCAGCAAGGAAATGTTTATAATACCTTTGTGGAAAGGTCCAAGGTTTGTTTAGGAGAAGCAGATGGAAGAAGCGGAGGTGGCTTTGACTTAATGAACTTGAATAGTTTTTTTTTAAAGTAATATGCATTACCATGAATTATAAGGGAAACAAAAGCTGCAGCCAAAGTAGAAGCAATTTTATAGATGTAGATTAACAGAATTGGACCTTGTAGGACATCTAGTCCAACACTCCACCCCACCCCCATCCAAGCAGACCCTAGATCATTTTTGACAGATGGCAGCCCAATCTTTTCTTGAAAGCTTCCAGTAATGAAGCTCCCACAACTTCTGAAGGCAAAGCTGTTCATTGGTTGATTATTCTCATTGTCAGAAAATTTCTCCTTATTTCTAGGTTGAATCTCTCCTCCTTCAGTTTCCATGCATTATTCCTTGTCTGTGCTTTGGAAAATGGCTTGACACCACCCCTCCTCTCTGTGGCAGCGCCTCAAATATTGGAACAATGCTATCATGTCTCCCCTGGTCCTTCTCTTCACTAGACTAGCCATGCCCACTTCCTGTAACCTTTCTTCATATGTTTTAGTCTCCAATCCCCTAATCATCCTGGTTGCTCTTCTCTGCACTTTTTCTAGTCTCAACATCTGCCTACAGTTGAATAATACTAATTATTAAATTTATATGCGGCCAGGTTCTTGCGACTCTGAAGGGAGATATGTGTAATGGGAGGAGACATAAACTTAACTTCAGTGGAAAAGCCTATTCTCTCTCTAACTTCATTAAATGTTCTGATATTCTCTTCTGCAGGCACTTTGTATCACCACTCTCCCCCCGCAGTCTACCCAGTCCCTTAAAACAATTTGAACATGGTCTACTCGGGTGGGTTGCTGCCGGCGTTACTGCTGGTTCAGTGCACGTGTGCTTTGCCTGTAAATAGGTCTGCGCATGTGCAGAACATTAAAAATGCAAAAAAAAAAAAAAAAAGTTGCCGCGACCGGAGAACTGGTTCAGGGGCATGGCGAGCCTACCGTCCCTACCTGTTCGGTGACCCAGTTGCAATTTCCACTACCGGTTCGGGCGAACCAGTAGCAACCCACATTTGGATCTACTGTGGGATTCACTTTGGCCAACCTTGCAATGCGGCAACAGGAACAACAGTCAGAATCCTGCCCTGAGTTGTGTATCCTGGAGGAACACACATTTTCTCATTTCTGCTCCATGCAAAAAATCGGGGGGGGGGGAGGAGAGAGAGAAATGGCTTGCATGCTTCTGGCTCACGTCCACATCTTCATTGCAGAGCATTCCAATGTTTGTTGTAGGCAAAAAAATGTTACAAATACCAGCACTTTGAACCGGAGGTGCTAAATGAAATCTAAAGCCATCTTTCAAACCAGGCAGTGGGTGGGTTTGATGACTGTTGGACAAAATACTATCTTTCAACATCTTTAAATATACAGGTAGTCCTCGACCTACACAGTTCATTTAGTGACCATTCAAAGTTACAACGGCACTGAGAAAAGTGAGTTATGACTGTTTCTCACATGACCTTTGCAGCATCCCCATGGTCACATGATCAAAATTCATATGGTTGGCAACTGACTCGTATTTATGACGGTTGCAGTGTCCCGGGGTCATGTGATCATCTTTTTGCGACCCTCTGACGAACAAAGTCAACTGGGAAGCCAAATGCACTTAAGAACCGTGCTACTAAAAACTGCAGTGAGTCACTTAACAACTGTGGCAAGAAAAAGGTCATGAAATGCGGCCAAATTCACTTAACAAATGTCTCACTTAGCAACAGAAATGTTGGGCTCAATTGTGGCTGTAAGTTGAGGACTATCTATACTTGTGGCCTAGCGGAGAATAATTGCACTCACCCTTTAAATACTGCTATCTTGAGGGAAGTAGAAATCCAGAACTTAAAAAAAAATTATCATGGATTTCTTATGTAACAATCCATCCTCCATGGCTGTTGCTGGGATGATGGAAGTTGTAGTCTGACGTACTTGGAAGGTACAGTAGTACCAGGTTGAGGGAGGCTGATGTGGATTATCAACCTTTTAGAAAATCCATAAACAAATCCCTGCTTAGTTATTTGGCATTTGTGGGCCTCTCTCTTTATAAGCTGATCAGTATAAAACAATTGAAAAAATGCTGGCGTTTGTAAAAAGTTATGCTTGTTTCTTATTTACAGTATTTAATGAACTTCTATGCCACCCTTCTCACTGATACAGTGACTCTGAATTCCTTGAAGTGGGGTTCAAGAAAGTGTGTTTATTGTAACTCATATCCTGTAAGAATGAGAAAAAGTGAAGAAGAAATGTGCATCAACATAGTCTAATCATTTCCCAGATGAGCAATTCATGTCATGCCTTTCTATTTTTCTTACACTTCTACTTACTCCTCGTGTTATATTTGGTTGTGGATCTGCTTAATGCTGTTGCTAGAAAGCTGCCCTATGCCCTTTGTAACCTGGTCAGCCAGGGTTCTCCAAGAATTGGATGCTTCTCTAGTCCAACTAGAATAGAATAGAACAGAACGGAGTAACAGAGTTGGAAGGGACCTTGGAGGTCTTCTAGTCCAACCCTGTGCTTAGGCAGAAAACCCTACACTACTTCAGACAAATGGTTATCCAACATCTTCTTAAAAACTTCCAGTGTTGGAGCATTCACAACTTCTGGAGGCAAGTTGTTCCACTGATTATCACTGAAGGGTCCCTCGAAACCTCTTCCATTTCTCCGTAAACTCTTGATTTGAAATGTTTTCGTTTTTCTCCTTTTCTTGCTGCATCATCTGTCAGGATTGCATACGGAAGATCTGGGCTTCATTCGGTGTTCTTGGATGACAGAAAACTGTTCACTTGTCTTTTATTTCTTATTGTTGGACAATTAAAAAAAATAGAAGCAATGCATTCTCCAATAATAATGTAGCATGATTTAATTCCTAAGCACTGTTGTGATGGGAAGTCTGCTCAGTGCAGGAATCTGTTCTCAAACAATCAGTGAAAGCAGTCATTTCCATGAGTGAACATACAGTATCTGCCATTAGGATTCTTTTTTCTTGATGTGCATGCAAAGTTTGCTTCCATATTTTAAATTCATGGTACTTGCCATGTCTTCTGGAACATATCTGAAAAATTCTTCCTTGTCTTCTGTCTGATAAAAGATGTTGCAGATCATTGTTTCTCAACCTTGACAACTTTGAGATTAGCTGGCTGGAGAATTCTAGAAGTTCAAGTTCATGTTAAAGTTGCACAAAGCTATGCTTGTTTCTTATCTTAAAATGAAAAACAATGCTGCAGAAATTGTATTTTACAGACACCTATCATAACTCATAAAATCTTTGCTTAAATATATCCAGTACCTTCTGCTCCTGGGGAGGAAAGCTATGGCAAATCTAGACAACATACTAAAAAGCAGAGACATCACCCTGTCAACAAAAGTGTGTATAGTTAGGGCTATGGTTTTCCCAGTTGCAATGTATGACTGTGAAAGTTGGACCTTAAGAAAGGCTGAGCGGCAAAGAATTGAGGCCTTTGAACTATTGTGCTGGAGAAGACTCCTGCGAGTCCCTTGGACTGCAAGATGATCAAACCGGTCAGTATTAGAGATCAACCCTGACTGCTCTTTCGAAGGCCAGATCCTGAAGATGAAACTCAAATACTTTGGCCACCAAATGAGAAGGAAGGACTCACTGGAGAAGAGCCTAATGCTGGGAATGACTGAGGGCAAAAGAAGAAGAGGACGACAGAGAATGAGGTGGCTGGATGGAGTCACTGAACCAGTAGGCGTGAGTTTAGATGGACTCCGGGGGATGGTAGAGGACAGGAAGGCCTGGAGGAATGTTGGCCATGAGGTCGCAATTGGTCAGACACGACATCGCAACTGACAACAATCCAGTACCTTCAACCTTACCTCCATACATTTAATCTTCCCAGATTGTTTATTAATTTGATTGTTGTTGTCCTTTGGCTGCACTCCAGTTTGTCAGAGTCCCTCCTAAAATGAGTTGCCTGGCACTAGACTCAGTATTCCAAGTGCAGCCTGACCAATGCAGAATAGAAAGGAACAATGACTTCTCTTGATCTTGGCACGTGTTTGTCTGATCGATGTGGAGTTGAAGGGAGAGAAGCAATGAAGAACAATAGCTCTTGATCATACTTGCTGCTAATTCTGGGGCTTGCTAGTGGATCTGAAGGGCACTACTTTGGGGAGGGCTAACTCCAGCTATACAGTATTTCTGCAATGGATTTTTAATATAGTTCCCCAAAACAATGTTTGATTTGCAAAAACTCAAAATAAGACACATCCCTATTAATTGCTTTTAGCACAGTGTATCTGAACAATGTGTTTGCCTCCCTCATCTATATCTACAGTAGAAATTCCCCAGAACTTACCTCTGACTCTTTATAGATATGGATGGCTCTGGCTTGTGTACATTACATTTTAATATGGAGTCTGCTAATAGTACATGAATCATATCAGTGTAACATGCAAAAGTACAGGTTGCATATGTAAATTGTTGGGTAACATATATTAAACCTTACAGATCAGTTTTAAAGTCAGATCACCCAGGAACTAAGTGCTGAAAAGTAACCAGTTCTCTTGTTATGTTCTTGCTTTCTATAAAACGATTTCTATTTTATTTTACAGTACCTAAAACATTCCATATGCCTGTTAATATTGTGCACTGGGAAATAGCATATCAGAATGGTGCTGATGTGGCAATCCCCCTCTCCCCCTTTTCCTTCTCACAGAAATGTCTGAAAAAGGAAGCCGGTACATTGATGGAGAGTTGGAAAACGCTATCAATGGAGTCCGGCAGATGAAGTTGTTGATGGAGCAGACGAGCAATGACCACCAGGAGATCTTGAATAACTTGGAAGACACAAAGAAGAAGAAGGAGGTCTGTTGTCAGCAGGCTTTCTGAGATGCTGTGATTGTTTCCCTCAGTTGGTTCAAAAGTCTTATTGGTTTGCCATTCAAAAAGGGGCAAGGGAGTTCTCTCCCCAGCCTAACCTAGATTCCCAAGTTACAATACAATACAATAGCAGAGTTGGAAGGGACCTTGGAGGTCTTCTAGCCCAACCCCCTGCCTAGGCAGGAAACCTTATACCATTTCAGACA